GTTACTTTGACTCTTCCGACTCACCGTTTATTCTGCGGGGACCTCCTGTTCGTAATATATAATTCTGAATTTGATAATGTTATGTACGGTCAATTATGTGTCCATCTTTCAGTGTATGTGATGTAGATGGTTATCCTATGGTTTCAAAACACATCTACGCTTTATAGACAGGTTATGTGTTGTAACATTGCATATGCCTGTAGGCTATACATGTTATCAGGAGTTAATAATGAAAATTCTGTCATTATTACTGCCTGAATGTTTATCTATGTGTCCTTGCAGGGTTTTCTCCGCGCGTTTCATGAAGGCGCAGGGTGTTTGAGTAGGACAGATTGGGAAGGGGGAACCGGGAGTGTGGGGGGTAACGCCGGTCCGAACTGACTTTGAGTTTTTTATTGTAATAAGCCGTATGATCATTTGCTATTGCGGAGCCAGGATTATCCGAGTCATAAGTGGCCTTCAATACACAGCGTAAATCGACCAGTTCGGTCACTTCGGTGGCACATATATATATACACTTTAAGCGGTGAAAAATAAAAGCACGACTGCTGTTGAGCATTTCATTGATAGCATAACTGGAGGAATTCAGGCAGTCGGAGGATTTACGGGATTTGCAAATTAGGTTTCAGTCGTCGAAGTGCATGAGAGCGCCGAGGCATGCATTAAAGACCTGGGGGAAACGCTGTACATATACGTGCGTGTTACAGGGTTATCCATGTGTCACCGTGTTAGTAATTACATACTGCCTCAGTTTATATTACAGGTAGGATCTGTTATTCACCTTGCATATACCTGGTATGTTACTGGCTAACTACAGTCTGGTGGCACCGTGGATTAGACGTTGTATTTTAAATTAGTCATGTGTCAATCCGCAAAGAATCAGGTTCGCTTGCTTTGATATATGGCTGTATGCTCTAGGTTATGCAACGCCATCACTTACAGGTGCCGGTGGGTGATACTTGTAAGTATAGGTATCTCTGTGTCATCGTGCGAATGCTATACAGTAGTATATGTGACTTTAATCTGGTGTTCTCGTCATGCAGTATACCTGTGATGGTACAGTTAGTTTCGATGCTTGATTTCAATGTACTTGGCTGTAATTGTAGTATATTAGTTTGAAGAGAAGCTGTAGAGATATCGTTACAAAAACATGTAACATCTAGAAAATCAATTTGCTACTAATTTAGTCAATTATGTAGACAATACTGAGCAGCTGTGTTATCATAAGTCTCAGTAAAACACACTATTATTCAGCAAGAATGATCGGCGGACCACTATCACCTGATCAGGAGGGGATCTAAGCTCGCTTACGTCTCGCACGCGCCTCCTGGAGCTAAAAGCCGACGCCCCGACAGCTAGCACGACCCCGCAAGCACAGGAGAAAGTCCGACGCACGTCTCCAGGTGAGCTGTGAAAAGATGGCAGCGCTTTGTGCGTTGCATTATGGTGATCAAGTGCGTCGATTCTTTCCCTCACGTCGAGTCTCTCCGTCGTGTCCCTATGTTCCTCTCCTCTATCTCTCTGCTTTTGGCATCATTTCTTTCCGTGTGGCTCTCTCTGTCCTCTCGTTCTCGCCCTCTTCCTACCCTCGCCTAAGCCTCCTACCCTCCCTCTTCCCTCGAACTTCTCTCCCTTTTCTCAGTTGCTACTCTCTCTCCCTCTCTTTCTCTCCAGCCCCTCTCTCTCTCTTTCGTGCTCTCTTTTCTCTACTCGATATTTGCAGTGTGCCTAACTTTCCCCCTGCTCTCGCCCCACCCCTTTCTCGTCGAGTGTGATTTTCCCTCTTTTTGATTCTACGCGGTCCCGCTTACTAACTCGCCTTTCTTGTGTCGCTCTCTCAGGCTATCTCTATCATTTTCTCTCATTTGTAATTCGCTGCTTTTGTCTTGTATTTTACACGCTAATACGACTGCCAAGTACACATGGTGTGTTATTTATGAAATAATAAAGGCCATGTCGCAGAATTCATGCGGAGTACTACGCTTCGATCAGCCGCGCAAGATGACTCTATTATCACACTGGGTCCTTAGACTGAGTTAAAAATTGTGCAGGGGTACGTATTTCGTGCGACTCCACGCATGGCAGCGCAGACGATGAAGCTCTGCATGGCTGAGAACAGATACTCTTTTAAAGTCCCGCAGAGGAGTGGCTACTTCTCGCATCGTTAACGTTGTACAGTTAACCCCGCAGGCAGAGGCGCGCGACGCACACTCGAGCCTCAACAGGGGGTTGGGTTGAGCCACGTCGGCTGCTCAAGCGGGATGGAACATGGCTTCTGGCGACTATGTTTGACGCACGCACTGTTTCTTGCTGCACCTTCTTGACTAGTACTGTTGCTGCTGCGAGTGCAAGCCACAGGTGCGGTTGGCAGTCTACTGCAATAGGGCATGGTGTTGTTTTGCTGTTATAATCGCAGTCATACGTTGCTCTTGAATCGGGGACCAGCGCCGGTCGATGATGAAACGTGTAAACTGTCTATCTCGGTTATCGTCGCTCACGCGAACGAATTTTCACGCACAGTTTTCGATCGGCGTTAACATAGTCGCTATGCAGTATTCTGAGACCTGAGTATTCCAAAGATAGAAAGGGCTTGATCATTCTCTGTGTTAGTGCGCGGTGGGAAGTCACGATCCAGGCATCCGAATGCATGGGAAGCTCGTTCCTTGCGCTTCGCCTGCGTGAATTGTAAATATCCTGTCGGCAAGTGCAGTGAGGGAGTGTGTTGGGGGCATTGTATGCGTCGTGTGGTGTGAGGGGGGGGGTGCGGCCTTGGCGGGCATTTATCACGCGCGGGGGGGCGGGGGGTTAGCGCGCCTCTCATCTATACTCTGACGACCTTTTAGATCTGGATCAACCCTTTGATCTGTTCGTCTGTGCCGCCGCACGCGCGCTGTCGTACGCTGAGCGTAGACTGCGATTCTGTGAGGACGAGGAGAGGATGAGCGGGGCACGAGCTGAGGTGTAGTGGGTGGTGCACAGTACACTGCTTCTCGCGCTGTAACGAGCGATTACGTGGTGACGTTTAGACGAGCCAGCATTGATTGACCTCCTCTCGCCGCGCGGCCTAGCTTGTCTCCAACGCGCGCTGGCGGAATGTGAACGCCCCCTCTCCCGTTAGGGCAAATTAGCTGCGGCCAATTTAGTGGCCAGCACCTGAATCGGCGGCCGCATAAGTCGATTATGAGTGTACCAAGTCTATTTTAGCGTTGCGTCGACTAATTGTCCGTCGTAAAAAGCGTCGGCAGCTGATCAATTTACTCTCGATTGTGTCGTCGCGTGGCACTCTCTCATTACGTCGTACGCGTCTGCAAAACTGTCTTTAACGTTGCGAGGTCCTTTTGAGGAGTTATCGGCCGTAGATGATTCGCTAGAGCAGGTGTTAGATATATAACAGGCGTGAGAAATTAAGGAGTACGGAGCTCTAAATCCTAATACTCCTAGACTTTAAACTGTCGGAATCCCTGATTTGAACAGATTGCAGGAGTCCCGTAGTGACTACCTGAAAATTCTGCTATACTAAACTAGTTCGTTCCAGGCACAGACATCGCGGAATTACCTATTTTTCAGCAACTATCCAAAGAAAATTATAAGTCAGACGTGACATCGCATGAATCTTCAACGAATAAAGCACATGTGTTATAGTTGTTATGCTTTAGTTTTGAATATTCAGAACTTCGGACTCCCCGCATTTTTGCTCGCGGAGCCCTTTTTGAGGGACAGAGAGGCCATTTTCAAAAGTTAATTTTCATAACCATGTAATAATCCTTTCTTGTTTTCGCCATTACTACCCGTCCATTCTGTACTGTTCTCCCCTCCCACTTTCTGCTAATTATTTTGTTTTGATCTTTTCGACTGAATATTTCCTCCACCCATTCTCACCTTATCTGTTTATTTATCCCTTGTCTTCATCTTGCAAACTACAACAGTCCGTGTCACATTATCAAACCCGCGTTTCTTTGCACATTCTATCTCGCGTTCTTTGTCCCTCGTCTCGATCGCTTTACTCTCTCTCTTACTCTCCTCATCTCTCATCTCTCTCTTTTCTCCCCTCCCCTTCTCTCCCTCTCTCTTTCTCTTTCCCTCTTTCTCTCCCTCTCCCCCCTCCCCTCCCTCTCTTCCCTTCTCCCCCTCTCTCTCTCTCACTACTTTTTTCATTGGCGAGAGCTTGAGGGGGCAGAACTCGGGGCCATGTCCTGCAATACAGAATCAGCGTTGAAATGTATATGGGTAGTGTATTAGAAAATTCCTTTGCGGTTTTTATAGCATTTTAAAACCGCCCACTTGCATAAATGTATTGTTGCTCGGATTAAAGTTCTAGAGTAGTTAAGACTAGGGAGTACAAAAATCCGGATATGGGAGTAACAAAAATAAGCACTGCTACAGCGTGATCACCACTACCCTAGTTCACAGGTGTGTGCTTTGCGTGCTGCTCTATTTTTTGGCCCGCCTCTCACCCGCCGTCACCAGCTATCTCCCTACACTCACGCACTCCCTAACAACTCTATGTGCTGTGCTTTTGGCCCGCCTCTCACCCATCCGACCATGTCAGGCCCAGCTACTCTCACTCCCACGCACCACTCCTCCACCACCTCCTCTGCTGCCCTCTTCTTTGCCCGCTCTCACCCGTCACCACGCATACTTCATCTCGCCATCTTGCGACAGTATGTCACAGAGTCGCCTACGCCTACTGCCTAACCCTAACCCTAACCCAAACCCGAACCCTAACCCAAACCCGAACCCTAACCCTAACCCTAATCCTAACCCTAACCATATCAAATAGTGACCAGGGTACGTTCCGGTATACCGGACCGTACCCAGGGTACGTTCCGGCAGTACCCTGGGGACATAGACCCTATGAGCCACACTGACACATACATATATTATAGTCCATGCAATGATCTGTAATTATTGAAGAATTTACATCCTATGATGTAGAGTGTACGTCTTGTCGTCATCCAAGTCATAGTATTAGCTAATATAGTGTTTGATTTCTGTTGCAGACAATGTATGGCCAACATGAGTCTGAAGCCAGTTCTCAAACTGAAGGTTGATGAGTTGTTTCTGAGATGGCTGAGCGAGGAGGACACTCAGCAGTTCCTGCAGGACAGCTTGAGGCAAATGACCATCGGTGGCGATGGTGTCAGCGCCCCTTCAAGCCCGACTAGGTATGCAACAACCTGCGCCTCCAGAGTATTTACACCCAATTTACATTTATAAAGATTGGGTATATGACATTTGATATCTGGAATCTTTCAACATATTAGTTAAATTTGTAAAAATCATGTCGTTAGCTTGCATGTACCATAAGTTTATATTATTATATTATTATTATATATTATTGCAATGGCAATTTTAGCATCTTACATTAATGAATATAGCTAGGAGGTAGACCAATATGCGCTTAGTTTTATACAAATGAAGGTTCCTATTCACATATATATATATATATATATATATATATATATATACAGGGGTAGAAATGAACTTTTGAAGCCCTCAAAAAGAGGGAGTCCGCAGTCTGAAGTACAAAATTAAAGACATTAACATTACGCATGTGATGATTTGAAAGATTTATGCGGTTGCACGTCTGCCAAATATTTGCTGAAAAAATACGGTAATTCCGTGTGGCCCTTCTCTGGAACGAACTAGTTAGTATAGGAGAATTTTCAGGGAGTCACACGGACTCCTGCATATGTCAAATCGGGGAGTCCGACATTAAATCAGAGAGTATTTGACTCCGGACTCGCGTTAATTTCGCACCCTGTATATATATATAATTAATTTATAATGTATGTACCGGTCATTTATGTGTCATCTTTCATGTCATTGTATGTAGATGTTATCTATGTGTCACATCACATCTACCTTTATATACAGGTTATGTGTGTAACCATGCATATGCCTGTATATACATGTTATCAGGAGTTAATAAGGACAAATTTGTCATTATTAACTCCTGATGTTATCTATGTGTCACCTTGCAGGGTTTTCTCCAGGACTTTCAGAAGGCATGTTTATAGACAGATGGGGGAGGGAACCGGGAGTGGGTTGTAACCCCTCCCAATACATTGAGTTTTTTATTTAATAACCTATATCATTAGCCAATTGGAGCCAATTATGCCAGTCATAAGTGGCCTCAATACACAGGTAAACTTGACCAGTTCGGTCACTTCGGTGGCATATATATTTTATACATTAAGCCGTGAAAATAAAGCACGACTGTGTTGAGATTGTCATTGATAGCATAACTGGAAATTCAGGCATGTCGGAGGATTTACGGGATATTGCAAATTAGCTTCAGCTTCGAATGCATGAAAGACCCGACATGCATTAAAGACCTGGGGAGAACGCTGTACATATACGTGCGTGTACAGGTTATCCATGTGTCACCTTTCATATATATGCCTCTATAATATACAGGTAATCTGTTTATCACCTTGCATATACCTGTATGTACAGGTAATCCATCTGTCACCTTGAATAGACTTGTATTTTCAAATTAGTCATGTGTCATCTTGCTTATGTATATGCCTGTATGCATCTAGGTTATCAATGCATCACTTTGCATATACTTGTAAGTATAGGTATTCTCTGTGTCATCTTGCGTATACATATATGTGTACTATTAATCTGTGTGTCGTCTTGCATATACCTGTATGTACAGGTAGTTCATGCTTCATATTTCATGTACTTGTAAACTTGTAGATATTTTAGTTTAAGAGTAAGCTGCTAGAGAGCATCTTAACAAAAACATGTAAACATTAGAAAATCAATTTAGTACTAATTAGTCAATTACTGTAGACCAAATACTAGCAGCTTTTATCATATCAGTCATAACACACAATTTCAGCAAGAATGGGCGACCACTATCACCGAGGCAGAGAGGTGGATCTCCTCCTTACTCTCCGCCTCCTGGGCTAACAGCCAGCCCCCGCAGGCCTAGCAGCCCCCGCAAACACAGAGACACATCGAAACCCACGTCTCCAGGTGAGCTGTGAAAAGAGAGCGTTTGCTGCTTGCATTCTATGTGATCAGTGCGTGTCTCTCCCCATCGGTCTCTCCCTCCTTCCCTCTGTTCCTCCCTCTATCTCTCTCTTGCCATCTCTTGCTCACTTTCTCTTTCCGTGTGTCTCTCTCTGGTCCTCTCTTTCTCGCCCTCCCTCCCTCCTCCCTCCCTCCCTCCTTCCCTCCTTCTCTCCTTCCCTCGTGCTCTCTCTCTCCCTCTCTTTCTCTCCACCCCTCTCTCTCTCTTTCTGTCTCTTTCTCTCTCTCTTGAGTGTGCCCTCTTTCCCCACTGCTCTCGCCCCACCCCTTTCTCTCGAGTGTGATTTTCCCCTCTTTCTTATTCTACCTCCCCTTACTACTCCCTTTCCTTCTGTCGCTCTCTCGGTATCTCTATCATTTTCTCTCATTTGTAATTCTGTTTGTCTTGTATTTTCACGTAATACGACTGCAAGTAAACATGGGTTATTTATGAAATAATAAAGGCATTCGAAGAATTCATGCAGTACTAGCTTCGAATCAGCGGCAAGATGCTATTATCAATTCGTCTAGTCGCGTAAAATTGTGCAGGGGAGTATTTTCGTGCACCTCCACGCATGGCAGCGCAGACATGAAGCCTGCATGGCTGAAACGAGATACTCTTTTAAGTCCCTCAGAGTGCTCTTCTCGCATCGTTACACGTTGTACAGTTAACCCGCAGGCAGAGCCCGCACGCACACTCAGCCTCAGGTGGGTGGGTTGGCACGTTGCTCAGGGGGAACTTGCTGTCTGGATATGTTTTGACGCACGCACTGTTTCTTGCTCACTTCTTACTAGTGTTGACTGCGCGAGTGCAAAGCCACGGTGCCGGTTGGCAGTTACTGCAATAGGGCAGGTGGTTGTTTTGCTGTTTAATCGAGTCATACGCTTGCTCTGGGGACCAAGCGCGGTCGATGATGAAACGTCGTAAACTGTCTATCCCTCGGTTATGTCGCTACGCACGAATTTTCACGCGTTTTCGATGCGTTAAATAGTCGTGCAGTTATTCTGCAGCTGAATTCCCAAAGAATGAAAGGCTGTCCTTCTCTGTGTTAGTCGGTGAGAAGTCACGATCCGGATCCGAATGCATGGGAAGCTCGTTTCCTTGGCTTCGCTGCGTGAATTGTAATATCCTGTCGGATGTGCAGTGAGGGAGTGTGTTGGGGGCATTGTATGCGTGTGTGTGTGAGGGGGGGGGTCGCGGGAGCGTAGATTTATATCACGCGGCGGGAGGGGGGGGGTACCGCCTCCTCCTCATACTCTGACGACTTTTATCGGTCAACCCTTTGAGTCTTCTTCGTGCGCGCTGTCGTACGCTGAGCGTCCGCCTCGCTTCTGTGATGACGAGGAGGAGGGATGAGCGGGGGACGAGCTGGGTGTAGTGGGGGGTGCAGGTACACTGTCCTTCTCGCGTGTAACGAGCAGTACGTGTACGTTAACGAGCAGCAATTGATTGCCTCCTCCGCGCGCGGGCTAGCTTGTCTCCAACACGCGCTGCGAACGTGAACCCCCCTCCCCCGTTAGGCAATTAGCTGCGGATTTGTGGCCAGCCACCTGACTCGCGGCGCATAAGTCGATATGAGTGTAGCAAGTCTAGTGCGTTGGTCTCCTTAATTGTCCTCGTAAAACGTGGCAGTGGATAATTTACTCTCGATTGTGTCGCCGCGTGGGTATCTCTCTTTACGTCGTGCGTCTGGAAACTGTCTTTTAACGTTGCCGGGTCCTTTTGAGGAGTTTCGCGTAGATATTCGTAGAGAGTGTAGATATATACAGGGTGCGAAATTAAGGGGAGTCCGGAGTCTAATACTCCTAGATTTACTGTCGGACTCCCTGATTTGACAGATGCAGGAGTCCGTGTGACTCCCTGAAAATTCTGCTATACTAACTAGTTCGTTCCAGAGCACGGCCTCGCGGAATTACCGTATTTTTTCAGCAAATATCCAAAGAAAATTTGGTAGACGTGCATCACATGATTCTTCAAAATAAGCACATGTGTTATTATTGTTATGCTTTAGTTTTGAATTTCAGACTGCGGACTCCCGCATTTTTGCTGCGGACTCCCTCTTTTTGAGGGCAGAGAGTCTATTTGACTCCCTTGTTCAAAAGTTAATTTCTAACCCTGTAATAAGCTTTCTGTTTTCGCCGTACTACCCCGTCATCTGTCTGCTCCTCCCCCTCCCCCTTTCCTGTATTATTTTGTTTTGATCTTTTTCGACTGAATATCTCCACCCATTTCACCTTATCTGTTTATTTATCCCTTTCCTTGATCTTGCAACTAAACAGTCCTGTCACATTATAAACCTCTTCTTTGGCCTTCTATCTCTCTCTCTTTCTCCCTCTCTCTCGCTCTCTCTCTCTCTTTCTCCCTCTCTCTCGCTCTCTCTCTCGGGCTCTCCTCTCTCTTTCTCCTCTGCTTCATCGGTCTCTTCTCTTTCTTCCCTCGTCTCTCGCTCTCTCTCTACTCTCTCTATTTCTCCTCCCCCCCTCCCCCTCTTCTCTCTCCACTCTCTCTTTCTTCTCCGTTCTCTTCTCTCTCTCTCGTCCTCTCTCTCTCTCTCCTTCCTCTCCCCTCTCTCCTTCTCCACTCTCTCTCTCTCTCTACTTTTTTCATTGGCGAATTGAGGGGGCAGAACATCAGGGCCATCTCCTAATACAGGAATCAGGTTTGAAAAACTCGTATGGTAGTATAGAAATTCCTTGCGGTGTTTTATCAGCATTTTAAACCGCCACTTTATGTATTGTTGCTCGGATTAAGTTCTAGAGTAGTTAAGACTAGAGTACAAAAAATCCGTCTGGAGTACAAAAATACGCCTGCTACAGCTTGCACCACTACAGCTATACACCGCCTTGCTGCTGCTTTTTGGCCCACCTCTCACCCCGTCCACCCAGCTACTCTACACTCACGCCACTCCCTATACACCTCCTTGCTGCTGCTTTTTGGCCCCACCTCTCACCCCGTCCACCCAGCTAACTCCTACACTCACCGCCACTCCTATACACCTCCTTGCTGCTGCTTTTTGGCCCGCCTCTCACCCGTCCACCAGCTACTCTACACTCACGCCACTCCCCTATACACCGTCTTGCTGCTGCTTTTTTGGCCGCCGCTTCTCACCCCGTCCACCCAGCTACTCTTACACTCCACCCACTTCCCTCCTATACACCTCCTTGCTGCCTTGAGCTTTTTGGCCCGCCTCCACCGCCGTCCACCCAGGCTTACTCTACACTCACGCCACTCCCCTATACACCTCCTTGCTGCTGCTTTTTGGCCCGCCTCTCACCCCGTCCACCCAGCTACTCTACACTCACGCCACTCCCCTATACACCTCCTTGCTGCTGCTTTTTGGCCCGCCTCTCACCCCGTCCACCTAGCTACTACGAGACTGACGTGCTGCGTCGTGTTGCAGGTGATGGCAGCTGCCGGGAGTTTCAAAGATTCACCGAAGCCAGAACGAACGGCAGGGATGCTGAGAAGGGCTTCACGGAGTTTCCCGCGCTTGTCGGCGAGATGCGAGCATCGAGGACAACGGTGAGATATCGGAGGGAGGAGGGCAGCAGGAGAGAGGAGGGCGAGAGAAGAGAGGGGAGGTAGGGGGAGGGAGTGCAAGAGAGGAGGGAGGGGGTGGAGGAAGGAGGAAAAAGGGAGGGGAGAGTCAGGAGGGGCTGTGAGAGAAATGGGAGGGGGAGTGATCGGTGATGGAGGGCGAAGGAATCGTAAGAAAGCTTGATAGGCAAGGGAGAGAGGGGCCCACCGGAAGGATGGTGATTAAACGAGTGGAGGGTGTGAGAGCGGTCTGCAGGAGAAGGGTTAGCACTACGAGTGCATAGGAAACGGGTGCCGGTGCCAGCGGTGGGGGTGGGGCAAAGGAGCAGGGACCATAGAATTAGATAGAAGGATTAGCCTGTGTGTGTGATGTATGTTTACAAGGTGGTGGGCTACCCACCATTGGCGTGCAACATTGTGGGCGAATTTTGTACCTGGCCTCCAGCTTTGTGATCTCAAACAAGATCCGTAGAGTGCTTGTTTAAACCCGTTAAATATTTAAGACGAGATCGTGTACATTTTGCTCTTCATCTTGTCCTTAATTATTCCACTTGAATTATTAAGGTTACGCGCGCGCAGCCACGCGGTAGGGCGCGGGCGAATTGCTCAGCACAGATGGTGGCGTCCCCTAGGGGAAAGGGGCGGACATTAGCCGCCGAGTAGCAACCACTTAGCCTGTGTGCGCAAGGGAAATCTGCTTGTTAGTGCACGTCCCACTCTCCCGTGTATCAGGATAGAAGTCTGACATGTCATCTCACTTAGGCTGCATCTTATACAGTCGGTTGAGTGTCCCCCGAGCCGAGTGGATGACTGCTGTTGACACAAGCATGGAGTGCCAATAACGCGTTTTTCTGCGCTGCCTAGGAGAACGCGTTCACCTAGCTCGCACGCAAAGCGCGGTTAATTAAATGTGCATGTAGTTGTCCGTTACGTGGGCTTAGCTTAGTCTAGTAGAGTGAATGGGGCCAAGCGCTGTCAAGTTGTGCTTGCTTCGATATTTGAAAGTAAATAGAAGTATTGATCAAATTACGACAATGGTCGTTGGCGTGTAGGTTTGAAGTATGTGAGTGGCTTGCTTTTCTTCTCTGTAACTGTTCACGTTGCAGGTGATTAGTTTTCTAATAGTAGATCAGACAAGGCGTACACAAAAGATATTGTCCCTTCTGCACACCACGTTTATTTACGTATCACATGCACTTTACACGTATCTTACGTTTATATAGCATGGTTGGCTAACATACTCGGCTAAATGCTGATTATTGCAATTTGTGTACAACTTCAGTTGTTAGTGTTACTGCAAACAGTTGCTGCTTAGCTAGTTATATCACGTTATATAACGTTATATCAACGTGGCATGGTGTAATTGGCAAGCACGCATCGGTTATGCTTCCCCTCTCTCACTGGCATGTTTTACGTAGCGTACGCTGACCGTCAGAAAGTCACACCTCTGTCCGAACTCGCTTTCTTGGCAGCAGGTGGCGCCACCGCACGAGGTTTTGCGTCGGAGGCGAGATTTCGGCGGCGATATGACAGCGGGGAGCATTATCAGCGAGCGTAATTCAACCTGCATGCAAAGTATTTTAAGTTGTCATGTTTTTGTGCGATATAGCTGCTGAAGCCCTCTCGCACGCACGTGCGCGCGGCGGCCCCGGCATCTGGCGAGATGCAAGAACGCAAATCAACTCGTCGGCTAAAAATATGCGCGACCGCGACTTACAAAGGTTAGAGCAATGATGCGGCGAGCCGCGCACCCTACCACCGTCCACCCACGCGAGAATCGAGAAAGTTCGCGACGTAATAAAAAAAAGAAGGGTTTCCGTTCGGCCGTGTGTTCTCTGTGTGGCGTGTGGCGTGCACGAGCTTATACACGCGCACGTGCGTCGTGTGCGTAGAAGCTGCGCGTGTGCGCGGCTGCACGAGATGTAAGGCAGAGAAAGTCATCATCCTCGTCGATACATGCATGTCAGAGACACGTATTGTACGACGCTGCATATCAGCTGTTAGCGACGAGGTATCGGAGGAGGGTGAAGCGAGGGAGAGAGGTCAGCGAGGGGTCACCTAGCGGAGAGAAGCCGATTTGCAGCCGTGGCGATGGGGTTATACAGACGGAGCAGCGGAGGGCCGTGTTATGGGGGAAGCGGAAGGAGGGTATTGAGTCTCGCGCGGGGAGGGGTTCAGCGGGGGGAAGCATTGAGCGGGTGTGTAGGGGGCAGGGAAAAATAAACAGGCAGTTGAAAATCAACACAGTTGGGTCCAACGCAGTTATATGGACGTGGATTTGGGGAGGGTGAAGCTTTGGAAGCCTCAATCACAATGTGAAGCCCAAGGAATACTTCTAAGCGTGGTGTGGCAGTGAATAATCTCTATGGGCATGTTTTCGAGGGAATATAAACAAGACCTGACTCACTGTAATTTCGAGTCATGGGATCTGAGGTGACTAACCCGGGACAGCTGGTGACAGTCTGCTTGCTCAATTGCGCAACATGTGATGCTGGCTTCTCATAAAAGACTCGTCAACTAATGTATCTTCTAGTTTCATTCTCGTTAGAGTATGGCTTGCTGTGTAAATAATACGGCGCATTCATTATTCAATAATTTATACTTTGTCGTTGGCAAACCTACTTGTCTTGCATATATATCCTAACCGTCTTGCCGTAAAATTGCTCATGCTGCCATGTTTAAAAATTTCTATGGTTTCAATCATTTGTTATGGCTTCTTCTGGCATCTAGGGAATACATAAGGAAACAATATTATATTGGCCATCTGTATTTCGGTTCAGTTAAATTCAGAAGGCGTGTGTAACCAGTCCACGTCTTCGTGCGTGCGACGGACGGATGCGGCACACGTCATAGTAAACTGATACTTGCTGTTGAGCAAATTGTCCGAGTTCTCGATAATCTCAGAAAGGTTTCCGAGTTTTGCTGCTTCGAACCTCGAGCTTGTATAGTTTCGATGACCTATAGATCCCCCGCGAACTATCGAGTCTCCTTCTCGGAGAGCCGGATACAGTGGGTCTGGCCCGAAAATTGGCATGGTTTCATCCACTAGTACCACCGCGTGCGCTTCGAGACCCCCGCCCACCCCGTCGCGGGAGCTTGTGAGAGCTTCCAGGGCCCCGTGTGCGTTCTCTGCCTCCACATGCAGTACATCTGTAACACAACACTGAGGTGATAGAGGCATGCCTTTTATGGGACAGTGAGGGCATTCCTCCAAACGCTGCAGCTGGGTACAGTACTGTGAGCAAGCCGAGCAGGCAATGACTGCAGTCATGATCCACGTTGCCTCGTACACCATATCGCTGCTGCTGCTGCTGCTGCCGTGAGAAGAAGAAGAAGAAGAAGAAGCCACGAAGAAGGCTTCCGTCGTTGCCTGTGAGAGAGATCCCGTTTATTGACAGTCCTTCGCTGCAGAAAGAGAGACAGAGAGAGAGTGTGTGCGTTTATGAGAGATATAGAGCGAGAGAGAACGGAAGAGAGTGAGCAGGAGAGCCACGGCGTGGTGTGAGTAGGTTGTGTTTGGGACAGCACGCAGCCATGTGCTTGTGATGGCGTGCGTCGTGCGACTCTGCTATAGGTCGGAGAGACAGCTGCCGCACGCCGTGGTGTAGTGACGCTGCGTGGATCTGTTTACACGAGCGAAAGTCACAAGAGACATAAAGAAATAGAGAGAGACAGAGAGCGAGCGAGAGAGAGAGAGAGAGAGCAAGAGAGAGATATAGACGCGTTGCCGCGGTCACCGGTGTTCCTTCTCCGACGGAGACATGTCCGCAGCCGCTGACCGAAATCACCGAAGCCAGATCGATGTCCGGTCTCACTGAGTGGTGTCACCTTCCACCGCGACACACACTCACGCGATACGCCGCTTATGGAAGGTGTGCGTCGGCGGGAGCACATCGCCGATCGCTTACGTGAGTGATTGATCATTGGACAGCGCCGTTTCTCCCACCTACCCGTGCACGGCGTCGCCATGAGGTGAAGCCACTCCGCGCGGCGACGACGAGTGACTGTCATGTAGCGCCCTCCTCTCGCTCGCTCGAGACGTAAACGAGGACACCTACGTCGCTCGGCCTCCCCCCCACCCGCTTCCCCCTCCCCCTCCCCCCACCCGCCGCCATGGCCGAGCGCAACGAGATCGTGTGCAAGTACGTCTGCTCGAACACGACGCCCTACTACAGCGTCACGATCGACCAGAAGCAGAGCAAAGCGATCCACTGCTGCGCCAAGTGCGCGCCGGACGTCGCGCGCACCTGTGGCGTCCGCTGCGGCGCCATCCACTACGGCTACTGCATCCCCGTCGGGCCGCCGGGCGCGCCGCCGCGGGTCGCCGTCCACCGGCCGCGCCTCGCGCCGGGGCCGCACGTCGGCGGGCCGCAGCTGCCGGGCAGGTACAGCGTGCAGAAGCAGATCCGCGTAGCCGACAAGCGCATGGCCGACGGCGCGTCGTCACCGTCATCGCCGTCGCCCGAGCGCGTCATCCCGATCCACTTCCGCAACCACGCGCTGACGCCGGAGAGGTCGCCATCGCCGCTGCGCGCCGCTCCCTCCGGCGTCCTGCAGAGGGCGCCGGCGTCGGGGCCGCTCAGCCCGCATAGTCCGGACGCGTCGGGCGTCAAGCTGCGCTTCACGATCAACCTGCCGGCGCGGCGCGGCGCGAGCCCGGACTCGCCGTCTGCAACGTCTCTTGGTATTTCATGGTTGGATTTGGCTAGTCAGTAAGAGTGTCGGGTCTAGTCTTTCAGGGTTGGTTGGGGTTTGGCTAGACACTAGAAGTGTCCTCGGTTGCACCATCATTCCGCTGTGCACCTGTGAGTTGTGGTTCACGGGGTTTGGCTAGCGTTCCTTGTCGCTCACCGTGAGCGCTCGTGATCGCCGCCCGTAATGACCTCCCACGTTGACACCCACACCTTAAAGTTGCTTAACCTCGCAGCTAAATGCATATATAGACCTACTGTGAGCTCGTCTATCTTGCAAAAATTCAATAGAACTCATATGTATTGCTACTTTCATAACATTTCTTCTCAAAATCTAAACGAAATTACTTACGCTCTTACGAAAGTAGCACCATAGTGATGTTTACACATCCGGGACACAGCGGAGCAACAGTTAACAGTTCTTTTCCATGATAAAACAAGTTATAATTAATTATTATATGTTTATTCAGTATAAAATAGTGAAATTTGTTTAAATCATATCGTTATTTATATTACTTATGCAATCATGAAACAACTATTTGCGCTAACGTAGGGCTACTGCTATCTGTGTGACATAACAACATCGGATGTAATTTTGAAAATTCCAATGTTTGTAGCACTTCTCTGGCTCAATGAGAACATTTCGTGATGTTTGCACACTGCAAGTGTGCTCACAGTAGGTCTATCTAGGCTTTTTGTTGTGAGGTTTATCCATTTTAACCCGTTACAGAAACTGACCGAAGCCAAGCCGTCGAGGAGGACTCCTGTAGCGACGACGACAAACACCAAGCAGCAGCCCTCCGTCGTTGCAGCCTCCGCCGCCGCCGCCGCTGCCGCCGCCGTGGACCCGGTCCCCATTCCACGGTTCTACTTCCCGCAGGGACGCTCTTTGCTAGGCAACCAGATTGAGGCGCAGTTGCAGCGAGTCGCGGCCGCGTTTGGCAAGTTCGGCGAAGGCAAGGTGACGCGCGAAGACTTCGGTGATGTCGCCAAGGTACGTTGATATGTCCCGCGGCGGGGTCGGCCGGTGTGACAGGGGGGGGCTCAGATGGTATGTCGCAGGGGTAAGCCAGTATGTTGCAGGGGTCAGGCGGTATGTTGCAGGGGTCAGGCGGTATGTTGCAGGGGTCAGGCGGTATGTTGCAGGGGTCAGACAGTATGTTGCAGGGGTCAGACAGTATGTTGCAGGGGTCAGACAGTATGTTGCGTGATGCTGCGCCGCGAGATGCCCGCCGACAAGGCGAGCGCGAAGAGCATCATCGAGAGCATTGTTCAGCGCAAGATCGCCGAGCAGGAGAAGTTCCCGACGCTGCGCGCCGCCGCCGTCTCCGACGACCGCTTCCCCGGCGGCTTCGCGGGTCGCCAGGGGGCGCCGCGCCACGTCTCGCAGTACCTGATCCGCAAGGACCAGATCGAGCGGCGCATGGCCGCCGAGAAGGAGATCTGCCTCGCGACGATGGGGCTGGCGAGCGCCGGCGGCAAGGTGTCCGAGCAGTACCTGCGCTGCAAGCGCGCCATCGAGCGCAAGATCTCCGAGATGCAGCTGCAGCCGTTCCGCGGGAGCGGCGGCGAGGCGAGTGAGAGCGAGAGCGACAACGAGCGCCCCCTGGAGGAGCGCCGCAAGTTCCGCTCGCAGGCGAAGCTCAACCTGGTGCGCTCGCCGGAGGCCGGCGCGCCGACCGCCATCGCGTTTCCGCGGCAACCGCTCGGCGACGTGCGGTCGAGGGAGCCGGCGCGGCAGCCTCCTCCTCCTTCTCAGGTGGAGAAGCCGGCTGAGAAGAAGCCCAGCGTGCCGGAGAAGCCAGCGCACGTCGTCAGACTGATGGCGCCCGAGGCGAAGACGAGGCCGCACTCGCCTGTCGAGCCGACTCGCCCGAAGACGGAAGCCGCGCGGCCGGAACCGGAACCGGAGCCGGAACGGGAACCGGAATGTCGCGCGGAGGAGGAGGCGGCCGCTCCGCCTGCTCTCGAGAGAGCGGAGGAGTTCCAGGTGGAGAGGCAGCTCATTGCCGAGGGCATCGACGATGACGAGGAGTCGGAAGAGGAGTCGGATGCGGAGTCGGAAGAGGAGGAGGAGGAGGAGGAGGCGGAGGAGAACAGGAAGAAAGTGGTTGTGGTTCAGGAGGTGGCTGTGCAGGAGAAGCCTGAGACACCAGCCGTTCAAGATAAACCGTCGGTGCCGGAAAAACCAGCAGTGCTCGTGAAATCTGCGACGCCGACACTGACACCAACACCAACACCAACAGCAACAGCAACAGCAACAGCAACAGCAACAGCAACAGCAACAGCAACAGCAGCACCAACACCATCACCAACATTATCACAGGCGTCATCGCCAGCAACGCCAGTGGCAGCGACAGTGCCGCCTGCCGAGGTAACGTCATCCTCACTGTGTGCCATCTGTAATGCGGAACATCGCATGCTCTCGCGGAATCTCGCGAGATTTGCGATCGAACGTATTCATGCTCGTATTTATTTTTGCTATATCGCACACAGATTACTTTTAAGAAAACTGCCAAATTTAACAAAACTAATGAACAAACGCAAAACGCAACTGTTATCGTTTTGAAACCGCGCAGTCGAGATCTGTGGAAGACACGCAAGGATACAACGGACAGTAACTAGTGGGCACTTTTACCATACACAATTCTTTAGCTTGAATGTGCGTTGTACATACAATAGCTTGTTTGTAGCTATAATTTTTTAGTTTGTTTCTGTTATCATCTTGGTCAATCTCTTTCCAGTCACTAAATAATAACCTAAATAATTCCACCAGCTAAATAATAAGCTTCCATCCAACGATCCGTTGGAAATTCGCACGCTCACACCGTCACATGGACGCATACGCATGCACGCACATGCTGGCACGTGCACACGCGCACGCACGCACGCACGCATTCGCACAGGCGCGCGTACACACACATACGCGCGCATACACATGCACGCACGTACACATACACCCGCAGGCCCGCTCACACACGTACACGCAGGCGCACACGCACGCACGCGCGCATACACATGCACGCACGTACACATACACCCGCAGGCCCGCTCACACACGTACACGCAGGCGCACACGTGCGCACACGCGATGTGATGCGTTAACAGAAGGAAGCTGTAGCTAATGACATCGCACCTCAACATCATTCGCATCCTCCTCATCGCCCTCTTCATCACCTGGCGTATCTATATCTGGGTCAGGCACTACGCAGACGCCCGGGTCGGTGTATATTAGCAAGGTTAAGTTGTGCCGAGTGCGAAGGTCGGGCCCCAGGCTGGCGATCATGACAGTGTAAGTGCCCGTCTGTCTGACCAAGTGACCTATCTCCCAGCGCAATCAGTTAAACCTATTTGCGAGTGCGATCGCGTGCGGGGGCGGACTCCACTGAGTTGCCGCCGCCTCTTCTTATCTTTGCCGCTATGTTATTGTCGTGCTTGTCGGCGGAGTTTTTGCCACGCGCGTCTTTGCTTGTTTATGTTTTAGTGACACACTTTTCATGCCTCGCCTTGTCTTACTCCGCACGCGCGCACTCTTTCTCTCCCCCCCCACTCTATCCCTTTTACCGCTCTCTTTTTTCTCTCGCTCTAACGCTCTCCTTCTATCGTTCTGTTTCTCACGCTGTCGCGCAACGGACGCTGTGCGGTGATTTCTCGCCCCTTCTCTGTAGATACGTGGCGTACGTGCGTGCGTGCGTGTGTGAGGGGTGCGTTCGTGCGTGCGTGCGTGAGGGAGTGCGTGCGTGTGGGGGTGCGTGCGCGTGCGTGGGCGTGTGTGGGGGGGGGGGCGTGGGCGTAGGCTTGTACGTATGCGCACACATGTGTGCGTGTGTGTGTGCACGCGCGCGCGTGTGCGCGTCTGTGTAGTATTTAGCAGCAGCTAGCGGCAGATATATCTGTCTATACTGACAGACTGCCATAGGTTCATTCACCCTCATTCACGGATCGCACGCCCGGAAAGCCCGCACGTCGTGTTTGTATGTACGAGTCCCTCCCTCCCGGTGTGCCTGCCTCTCCCCTCCCGGTCGGGCGCAGCTAGCTATCCCGGTAACGCGATCCAGCCAAAATTATCACGTAACTGCTTCTTTTCGCCCGTGGAGGCGCGACGACGTGGGAGAGTCAGTGCGGGTTTCCACCCTGAGATTCCCCATGACCCTGAGACCCTGAGATTCTCCCGCCACGGAAGCGGCAACGTGTAGAAAGTTAGCTCATCGTTGATACATGTGCTGGCTGGGTGCACCCGAGGTCACTCAGGGAGAGTGGGGAAAGAATTCGAAATCGATCAATTAGTTTATGTAGTTCCTACCAATTTCTGCTAATGATAAACTCGTTGGTTTACTGATTCACGGTCACAATCGCGATTGAAAGGTGAATGGATTGGGGATATAGCTTGCCGGCGGTGTCTACATCAGATTAAACTAGTATATATAACACACGTTGTGTTACGCAATTAAAAACATGTAACAGACAGTAACGACGCATAGCGTGCTAATATAGACACGGACCTAAAGCCCATATACTATAGACATTATAGACTGAACAGTACGTTCAGCATTGACTCATATACAATACTGCCAACAATGACTGATTAATACTGACAACAATTGAACATTGACTAAACAATACTGACAACATAGACTGAACAATACTAACAACATTGACTAAACAATACTAACAACATTGACTGAACAATACTAACAACATTGACTAAACAATACTAACAACATTGACTGAACAATACTAACAACATGATTAAACAATTACTAAAACAACATAGACTGAACAAATCACTGACATACATGACTAAACACATATAACAACTTGACCTGAAACAATACTAAAACATTGACCTAAACAATTTAACTACAACATTGACTAAACTACTAAACAACATTAGCTGAAACAAATCTAACAACATAGACTGAACAATGTACTACACACATTGACTAAACAATCTAACAAACATAGACACTCCATTTTACAGCGGCAATTACGCGAAGCTAATTGAACTGAACGGATACTGCCCTATCTCCGCAGTCTAGACTGGATTACTTACTGACATATCATTGACTGGGGCAATACAAGTCACGCTACCATTGGCCTGAACAAATACTGACCAACATTGGCTGAACAATACTGACATTAACATAGACTGAACAATACTACAACATTGACATCATTTGACAGGGCAATACGGAAGCATTTGACTGAACGATACTGCTATCCTAGAGTCTAAGACTGGATACTACTGACAATATTGACTGGGCAATACAGTCACCTACCATTGGCTGAACAAAACATACAATATGGACTGAATACTAGTGACAACATAGACTGCAGATTCGTAACAATATGGAAACTGTATATATAGACTGAAGAATACTGCCAAATAGACTGAGCACAATAGGCGCGTTTTCACACTGGGGCCGGCCGCGAATAAGCTGGGATGCATCCCGGTTTTCTGCATTCGAGCGATCGCAAATACGCAGATTATTACAAGATCGTGAACGCAAATAATACTCATAATAATCCGCGTAGCTCGCGCCTCAAATCGCACTTTTGATGCGATCTATTTGGAATTAGCTGCGTATTATGGTGTGTGAACGCCTCGCGCAAAATAATCCCGGTATTTTCTATCCATCACTTCCAGCGAGTGAAGCAGTGGCACTGCGCAGTGAGCTCATTCCGGCAGTGAGCTGGCGCAGTTCTGATTAATAGATATATCCCGCGCGGCAGATTAGCGCGTTATTCGCCTGTGTTGAAACCAACGACACAATTATCCTCCGCGTATTTCCATCGCGATTAGCATCGCGGTTTTTCTTGTGTGTGAACGCACCTATTGAAACATTTACTGGGCGTTACTGCCAAAAATTACAGAACAATATTGTGACAACACTCACTCAACAAAACTTCCTACAAAATTAATGCAGAACAATGCTGACAACATTAGCTGAACAATACATAATACATTCACTAAACAATACGGATAATGCATAGAAGAAAATTTCACGAATTTTTTGGTGTTGAGTTTTTAGAATTAAAAGTAAATACATCTAAAACTAGGAATATTTCTAAAGTCTTGTGCTATACGTTTGTAAGGTGGTTTCAAATATAAAGGTATTTGGCTTTTTATCAAGACAAAAAGGCCGTTTATCGTGAATGTTGATAGTATAATCGTGCTGGATAGTTGAGCGTTTCGATGTGAAAATATCTCTGATAGAACAGCAAAAAATAGCGAGCAGAATACAGTAATATTATATACAGTATATAAATGATAACAAAGAACCCCAAAAGGGTGTTTATTTCGCAAATGAAAGCTAGTTCATTCGGCAGGCTCTAATGAACGTGCCCTTCCAGTATAGTGGGGAGTAGGGGAGGCACCGGCGGGCAATGCAAGGGCAAGCCGACATATGGCCTGTGATGTATTTATGTTTACTGCTGAGCTAGCTATGCAGGCATGTGTTTGGTACAGTGGGCAGTCGTGCAACTATCACTCGGGCTTTAGATTTCATGCAGAAATAGATCCGGGCTATGTGTTTTCCTGCTAGCGTTCTGCAGGCATGCAGTACTCTTGCGTGGCGCACGCAGCGAGTACATTCTCTTTAGTCTCCCCATTACACGTGGGGACTTGTAAAGGGCTTCATGTTTACTACATTTATAAGGAGACGGAAAAAATTGGGCACAGTGGTGACATTATTGGGTACAGCCCAGTGCCTACGTATCGTGACCTTTGTCAGAAAGTTGAGCCCATCAACGTAGTCGAAATTTACACCTTTACCTTTCCCTAATTTCCCACATTTTCCCTAATAGTTTTGTAGTAATCGTGTCCGTTTTTTAGTCTTCATTTTTTATTTCTAGAAATTAAGTTATTGGCATTGTTGTTTTTAATTGCTCACAATATCGTAGGGGAAAAAAGCATGTAGATCTTATTAGATTAAGGATATAGGAATATATTTTTACAATGCCGGTGTAAGCCTTAAATTGGAACATGGCGGTCTAAACTAATTAACTACCATTAACGAGCATGTTTCTTTTATTTTTCTGAGCATGATCTAGTTGACGTGTCGTGAAGGAATGACATATTTCTGCGCTGAGTAGTCCTTTGGTATTTGGATTGGCTGAAGTATAATGATCCATGATATAAATGATGCTTAGGTCTAATTTAGTCTTGGCCTTTTGACACTAAACAGACAGGATAAACATTTATTTCTTTACTTTCGATAGTTACTGTAGCTACATGTGTCTGGGATGCATTCTAGGCTAATGTAAGGGACGCTCTCCTCCATGTTTATTCGCTTGCTATTGTCATAAGATGGCACAACGTAATATTGAGGCGACGATGAGCCTAATTGAAACATCCTATGACTTAACTGAATCATTTAACACCCTCCGGTGTTTACACTTGTAATAATGAGTATTTGTCATTTATGCATATAAACTGCGATAAAATTGTGCAAATATCCGTCGGTAATGTGGTTGCCAATTTTTTTGTCATAGAGGGTGCTAGTTTAGTATTGGTAATAGTAACTGAGGCCGAAGGAGTCGTTGCCGTATCAGGTACTACAGATATGTACCCGAGGTACGTATATGTATACACAAGTGTACCAGACCTGTATCTTCTCAGCATATTATGTACCCTGTGTTTACATAAACGTACCTGCCCCTGAGATGGATATCGAATGAAGACGGTCATGGAGGAGGAGTAGGGGGCAGAAGGAGGAGGAGGAGGAGGGGAGAAGGTGATGGAGTAGGTGGAGGAGGAGGAGGAGGG